CACACAATCACCACTCGCACGGCTACACACACAACCACACACTCACAGACACAACTACACACAATTTGCATGTACACAGAAACGCACGTGTGCGTGCATGTGTGCGTCGAACTTCTGTCGCACCGTACGTAGCCGACCAGTTGCAACACTTAGAATGTCACACGTACATATGCACGCACACTGAACCAGTTACACACACACACACACCCATATAACCACAACCTCACACTCCACCAAATGACAACCACACACATCTATACAACCTAACACTACAGTGAGAATCACACGCTCGTGCTAACAACCTTACAACCTACACATAGGCAACCACACACACACATATAGTAATGTACACCCTGCGAGATGCACACAGACACACAACTACACACACACAGATATAGTCATGTAGACTCTGCGAGATGCACACAGACACACAACTACACACACACAGATATAGTCATGTAGACTCTGCGAGATGCACACAGACACACAACTACACACACGCACAGATATAGTCATGTACACGATGCGAGATGCACACAGACACACAACTACACACACACGCAGATATAGTCATCTACACGATGCGAGATGCACACAGACACACAACTACACACACACAGATATAGTCATGTACACTCTGCGAGATGCACACAGACACACAACTACACACACACACAGATATAGTCATCTACACGATGCGAGATGCACACAGACACACAACTACACACACGCAGATATAGTAATGTACACCCTGCGAGATGCACACAGACACACAACTACACACACACAGATATAGTCATGTAGACTATGCGAGATGCACACAGACACACAACCACACACACAGATATAGTCATGTAGACTATGCGAGATACACACAGACACACAACTACACACACACAGATATAGTCATCTACACGATGCGAGATGCACACAGACACACAACAACACACACAGATATAGTCATGTAGACTATGCGAGATACACACAGACACACAACTACACACACACACACAGATATAGTCATGTAGACTATGCAAGATGCACACAGACACACAACTACACACACACAGATATAGTCATGTACACGATGCGAGATGCACACAGACACACAACTACACACACACAGATATAGTCATGTAGACTATGCGAGATGCACACAGACACACAACTACACACACACAGATATAGTAATGTACACTATGCGAGATGCACACAGACACACAACTACACACACACAGATATAGTCATCTACACGATGCGAGATGCACACAGACACACAACTACACACACACAGATATAGTCATCTACACGATGCGAGATGCACACAGACAACCATATGCATAAGCACACACACACACATCTACACACACGAGATAAACACAGACACACAAAATTACAATACGCGCATTAGAGCTATACACAACTCCCAGATGCACAACCATGTATACAAAATGGCACACGGTTGGCTACGTACGGTGTGAAAGAAGTTCAACATACATACAGACATAGCCACACATTCACAGACCCATGAACACGAAATCAAATACAGTGATACATAACCACATACAGATCATAACCACTCACATAAGTGATAACACTCAACCGCACTCAACATTACTACATTGGCACACACCGTTACATTCAACTGCATACAAAGATCCCCGTATAGCCTTTACAGCCTGTAGGGGCAAGTGCTGTTAGCAAGCGCCTATGAAGGCCGGCACAGCACCCGAGCGAGTGGGTGATGTTTAGACACCAGGTACTCATTTTAGGCTGAGTCGACCTAGGAGAGGCCCAGGACCGGTTCAAATAATCGTCACTGGCGTTGGCCCTGAGCAGGAATCGAACCCGGGGCGCCAGGTTCGTAGCGCAGCGCGCTAACCGCTGCGCCACCGCTCCCACTGCATACAACCACACACACACACGATCACACTCAACTACACACAACATTGATGCACACACAACCACACACAACCACACACAACCACACACAACCACACACGACCACTCAACTAAACACAACCGCATTAATAGACAACCACATATTATGATAATTCAGACACACAACACTGAACCACACACAATCGTGGATGCAAATCCACACTCAACCACACAAAGACAAAGATACTCCCGTATAGCCTTAACAGACTGTAGGGGCAAGTGCTGTTAGCGAGGACCAATGAAGGCCGTCACAGGACACACGAGGGGGTGGGTGGCCAGCACCACGCCCGGCCGCCTTTGTCTCCCCAGTGGCGATGTTTACACACCTGCACCAGGTACTCATTTGAGACTGAGTCGACCTAGGGGAGACCTGGGACCTGCTCAGATAATCGTCACTGGAATTGGCCGTGAGCGGGAATCGAACTGGCCTCGCTGAGTTCGTAGCGCAGCGTGTTAACCACTACACTACCGCAACTACAAACACGAACATCTACACAACAATCACATATATACACAGAACCACAACAACAACAACACACAGATATAAATACTGTACCAAAGACAAAGATCCACCCATCCCCCGTATAGCCTGAATAGACTGTTGGAGCAAGTGCTGCTAGCGAGTATCACCGATGCAACGACGTGCACATAATCACACACACAACCACAAAGACAACCACACACACACACAACCAGAAAGACACAACATATACACAGAACCACGACAACAACAACACACTCGGAACCACACACACAACACGCACACAGCCACACACACGCACACACCCACGCACACGCAGAGCCACACACGCACACAGCCTACGCACACAGCCACACACACGCGCGCACGGACACACACACGCACGCACACAGCTACACACACGCAGAACCACACGCACACAGCCACACACACCCGCACACAGCCACACGCACGGAGCCACACACACACGCAAACAGCTAGACACACACGCACACAGCTAGACACACATGCACACACACACACAGCTAGACACACACGCACACAGCTAGACACACACGCACACACAGCTAGACACACCCACACAAAGGCACACACACAGCCAGACACACGCAGAGCCACACACGCACACACACACAGCCACACACACAGGCACACAGGCACACACAGCCACAAACACACGCACACACAGCCACATACGCACACACACGCACACACACACGTACGCACGCACACAGACACACACGCACGCACGCACACACACACAGACCACACACGCACATACACACGCGCACACAAACACGCACACACAGCCACGCACACGCAGAGCCACATACAGCCACACGCACACACACACAGACACACAGACACAGACACACACAGACGCACGCACACACACATGCACACACACACACAGACACACACACACACAGACACACCCGCACACACAGACACACCCACACGCACACACACCCACACACATACCCACACACACCCACACACACACACCCACACACACAGACACACCCACACACACAGACACACCCACACACACTGACACACACACACTGACACCCACACACACTGACACACACACACACACCCACACAGACACACCTACACACACACTGACACACGCATACATACCCGCACACACCCACACACAGACACACCCACACACACACTGACACACACACACATACCCACACACACCCACACACACACCCACACACACCCACCCACACAGACACACCCACACACACTGACACACACACACCCACACACACACATACCCACACACACCCACACACACAGACACACCCACACACACACTGACACACGCACACACACTGGAACACACACACACAGACACACACTGACACACACACACAAACACTGACATACACACACACACTGACACCCATCACACACACACTGACACACACACACACTGACACACACACACTGACACCCATCACACACACACACACCCACACACACACTGACACACACACACTGACACACACACTGACACACACACACTGACACACACACACACTGACACACACACAGACACGCAAACACCCACACACTGACACACACACACACACACACTGACACACACACCCCACACTGACACACACACACACTGACACACACTGACACACACACACTGACACACACACACTGACACACACTGACACACACCATACACACACACACCCACACACTGACACACACACACACACTGACACACACACACCCACACACTGACACACACACAGACACACACACACACACTGACCACACACACACTGACACACACACTGACACACACACACACTGACACACACACACTGACACACACACAGACACACAAACACCCACACACTGACACACACACACACACTGACACACACACCCACACACTGACACACACACACTGACACACACTGACACACACACACACTGACACACACACACTGACACACACTGACACACACATATACACACACACCCACACACTGACACACACACACACTGACACACACACACCCACACACTGACACACACACTGACACACACTGACACACACACACACACTGACACACACACACACTGACACACACACACACTGACACACACTGACACACACACATACACACACTGACACACACACACACTGACACACACACACTGACACCCACACACACACATATACACACTGACACACACACACACACACTGACACACACACACTGACACACACACACAGACACACACACACACTGACACACACACACTGACACACACACACACTGACACCCACACACATACACACACTGACACACACACTGACACACACACACACTGACACCCACGCACATACACACTGACACAGACACACACTGACACACCCACACACATACCCACACACACACACAGCCGCACAGACACACACTGACACACACACACACTGACACACACCCACACACATACCCACACACACACACACAGCCGCACAGACACACACACAGACACACACACACCACACAGGCGCAACTCGCACGCGCGCACTCACGGACGGGTCCGGCTGTCCCCGCTGCGTCCGCGGCGTCTCGCGGGTGCCGAGTGGGACTTGCGTCCCCCACGCTCCCCGCTCCTCCTCCACCACCACCACCACCACCTCCACCGCCACCACCACCACCAGCCACCGCCACCACCACCGCCACCACTCCTGTGCCGCGGCGAACTTTCCCCTTCTCCCTTCCTCTCTCCTCCCTCTCTCTCGGCTGCCCCCTTATGATGATGATGATGCTGCTGATGATGACCACCGCCACCCACCTCCCCGTGCTCCCCACAATGATTCAAATCGTGCAAATGCATTTGCATCGCTCCAGCGCCACCACCACCACCACCGCCGCCGCCGCCAGCAGCAGCAGCAGCAGCAGCGATGCCCTCCATCACCCCGTCGTAGGACGCCGCTTCGAAGAACTGATCGAAGCCCTGCGGCAAGACCCCGTTGCGTCCCACCGCGCTGAAGAATCCCGTTCCGCGCGAAGCCGCCGCCGCAGCAGCCGCAGCAGCAGCCGCGTGAGCAGCGGCTGCTGCTTGTGCGTAAGCGGCGTGCGCCGACGTGGGCGATGAGAAGTAGTGTCTGTACAGCTGGTCTCCGGGACCACCACCACCGCCGCCGCCACCACCACCCGTGGCAGCAGCAGCAGCGGCAGCGGCGGTGGTGTTGATGTTGGTGGTGGTGGTGCCACCCTTCAGCATCGCCAGCTCCGCGTGTGCGGCGAATTCTGCGCGCTGCTGCGGGTGCAGGTGATCCCCCGAGGGGCCGTGCCCGGGGAACGCGTGCGCTGACACTTCGTCGTTGGCTGCTGCGATGCTGTTGCTGCTGCTGCTGATGCTGCTGTTGTTGCTGCTGTTGTTGCTGCTGCTGTTCGCACCGCCAATACCGCCACCACCATCAGCGCCAGCAGCACCGTTAGCCGCAGCTGATATTGCCAGACCACCGTCACCGTCACCATCACCACAACCTCCTGCAGCAGCAGCAGCAGCAACAGCAGCACCGCCAGCTGTGCCAGCGCTCCGTCCAATGTACTTGTGGTGGTGGTGGTGGTTGTCTTGGACTGCTGTGCCTCCTCCGTACGCTGCGCGATACGGGGAGAAGTGCTCTGGCCGGTGGGGATGGTGGTGGTGGTGTGGATGGTGGTGGTGGTGGTGGTGGGGATGGTGGTGGTGGTGGTGTCCACTCTGCATGTAGTACGCGGGACAGCTGGGCAGGTAGACACTGGAGGCGTTTGCACTTCGCTCATCGAACTCTGCAGCAGCAGCAGCTGCAGCAGCAGCAGCCGCCGCCGCCATTCCGTCTTGCATCAAGTGAGGGGATAGGCGGACCCCAGTGCCCGGATAAACGAGGTTGAGCGACCCCAGCATCGATCGGCTGAGTTCCCACCCACCACCACCCACCCACCACCACCCACCCACCACCCACCCACCACCACCAGCACACACACAGCGTCAAGTGATTGTGTCTCTCTCCCCCTCCTCTCTCTTGCTTCGCTCTGTCTCCTCTCTCGCTCGCTCGCTCGTTCGTTCTCTCTCCCGTTCTCTCGCCCGTTCTCTCTCTCTCCGCCCGATCCGTGTCGTGTCGACTCGGGGCGAGGTGGCACGGCGATGCCGAGCTCGTAGCCGTGTCGCCCCCCTCTCTCCACGCGCGCTTCTTCTTGTTGCTCCGAGGCGCTCGAGTGAGCGATCACTTTTCCTTGCACTTTTCTTCAGCTCTCTCTCTCTCGACGTCTCCTCCTCCTTCTTCTGACGTCTCCCCCCCCCCCTGTTTCTACCTCCCCCCCCTGCCCCCCCCCCCTCTCTCTTCCACCATCACCCTCCCCCCCTGCCCCCCCCCTTTTCCTATCTCTCCCAAAACGACCACTACTAGCCACGCAATGTGTAACTCACTACTCACTGAAGCGGGCGACCCACCCTCCACACACGCAATCGACAACCACCCCAACCACCATTGTCACCAGCAGCAGCAACAACCACCACCATCATCACCACGTACGTCCTCTCTATACCCCCACCACCAACAACAACCACCACCACCACCACATCCTTGCGTCACGTGACACGAACACGTCCTCTCGCCATGTATCAATTATGATACGGAGAGAGAGTCGATGGTGGTGCTGTGGTGTACTCACGCTCTCCCCTCCATCTCTCATCTCTCCTCCTCCCTCAACACCCAATCCACCAAATGCCCCCCCACGCCTCCCCCCAACTCTCCCCTTCCCCATCGGAACAAACCACGTCTCACTCTGTCTACTAACAAATCATTGAACACGTGCGAATCGCGTTGATGCGGTTTTCTTGCTGCTATCGATGGCGGTGGTAACATAGCCGGATAATATTGTGTGGTTGTTGTTGTGTATTGTTTTGGCTCTGTGCACATTATGTATATGTGTCACTTTCTTTTGACAATCCACTGCTGGATGAAGGCCTACTCTCCCACCTTCCCACCGCAATGGTGGGGAGGGTGGGGGGGTTGATTATGCTTCACCGCTTGATTACTCATGTATATATGTGTGTGTGTGTACGTGCGTGTGTGTCTGTATACGTACATTATATGTAGTGTATATACATAATGTACATGTTGAATGTATTTGCAAATTTGACTGGTATATGCAGGTCGTGCAAAAGTACACTATAGATTGCATAACCAAACAGTTGTTTGCAAACGCTCACCTATGTATTCTTTAATAACAATAAAATATTGGCTTATAGAAGACCAATCGTCCGAAACGTCGTGATAATGTTCAAGTCATTTATTATTTTACGTTAAATATATCCAGTTATGCAATGTCATTTGAGTTGGCTGAATCATATACACTTTCACGCAGTACGATCAAAGATAAAGATCCCCCGTATAGCCTGGACAGACTGCTGGGGCAAGTACTGTTAGCGAGCACCTATGAAGGCCAGAACAGTACACGAGGGGGTGGGTGGTCAGCACCACGCCCGACCGCCTTTGTCTCCCCAGTGGCGATGTTTACACACCGCACCAGGTACTCATTTGAGGCTGAGTCGACCTAGGGGAGGGCCCAGGACCGGTTTAGATAATCGTCCCCGGTGTTGATCGTGAGCGGGAATCGAACCCGGTGTCTGCCAGGTTCGTAGGGCAGCGCGCTGACCGCTACGCTACCGCTCCCCCCACACTTGACCATAATCACACGCGACACGACGGGTGGGGTCATTTAAGGGGGCGGCCGGGGGGCAGGAATTAATTAACGAAAAAAGAAGCAAAAATTCGTCACGACCGCCGTGGCCCTGAAATAAAAATAACAAGCGGAGAATAAGTAGGTCGACGTTGCGGGCAGTGACCTTCTTCAGAAACTCCTCTCCGCGTGCTGTTTAAAAAAAAAATTGTAACGAAGACCCGCAGTGTTATTGTGACGAATGTACGTGTCGAGTTTTTTTTTAATTGTTAATTATTATTTATTGTTCATTATTATTAATTGCCAGTTTAACACCTAGCAGGCTTTCGCGACCAATATTATTCATAATGAACGTTTTTGGGTTTAGATCGCGTTATTTATAAATGTGTCGTAACCCTCCACCACCCGACACGGCCAATCAGTAAAAAAGTGTCACGTTGACAAAAGACAAATAGTTCACTGCTTTAGCCCACCGGTGTGTTGAAGCGTTAAACCACAACATTTACAAAAAAAATTTAGTACGACGTTTCGCTGGTAATTGCATCTAGCATCATCGGGCAATTCGCCACTGGTGGAGGGTTACGACACATTTATAAATAACGCGATCTAAACCACAAAACGTTGAATATGAATATTTGTAATTGTGCTCGTGCACCACTGCCAACGCTGTCGCAGAATCAGTAAGCACCGAATACGATACAACATAAAAATTTGGACGATTGTTTATTTCATTTATTTACTTCCATCACAACAACTTAAAATCCGAAATCCCAAAAAGCACTTACCACGCACTCGATTTCATTCGCAGAACCCGAGACGGAATCCTTCACGGTGGAATTTTTTTGTAGCCACCCCTGAAACAAAACAAAAAACCCGTGGCAACATTCAGGCCAAGATATTTTTTTTTCACTTTGAAAAGGGAGCCCCCTTTTAAACCCCCCACCCCCTTCTTTTACTAGGCTTTAATAGAGCGTTCGTGTTGTTACCATATAAAGCGTTACAAGTTAAAACAGCTAGTAATAATTTTATACACAAATAAAAAATATATTAAATCACCATTGAATATAGAGCGAGCGAACGTACACGCGTAGCTTCCTCGCAGCAATCCAAGGAAACCCCGGTGCAACATGTTGAGTTTGCAATGTGTGTGTGTGCCTCCCCTAGGTCGACTCAGCCTTGAGTGAGTACCTGGTGCGGTGTGTAAAGAATTTGCACCGGGGGGAAACATCGGCGGCTGGCCGGGCGTGGTGTTTATCCACTCACCCCTTTCGTGTGCCGTGCCGGCCTTCATAGGTGCTCGCTAACAGCACTTGCCCCCAAACAGTCTGTCGCAGGCTACACGGGGGATCTTTGTCTTGGTATGGGGAGTGGTGGCGTGGTGGTGAGCGACGCGCTGAGCTATGCAACGCGGTGCGAGCCGAGTTCGATCCCCGCTCATGGCCAACCATCATCCGTGACGAATATCTGAGTCGGTTCTGGGCCTCCGGCTAGGTCGACTCAGCCCTAAATGGGGACGTGGTGCCGGTGTATTTAAATATCACCACTGGGGGGAGACAAAGGTGACCGAGCGTATTGTTGTCAACGCGACTCCTTCACGCGTTTGCTCTTATAGGTAAACACATACCAAAGGCAAAGATCCCCGTATAGCCTATACGGACTGTTGGGGCAAGTGTCGCTAGCGAGCGCCTATGAAGGCCGGCACGGCACACGAGGGGGTGGGTGGCCAGCACACACACGTGCTTAACACATGCAGATACTCGTCGGTACAGTGTACATGTAGGCAACACGTTCTCACACACTTGCATAACACGTTTCGATACTCATAGATATACACATCGGTGCACACTCACACTGGCATGCATACACAGACGCATACATGTACAATATTTCGCACAGACTTAGATACACACACACACGCAACGTAACACATTCCAAGATGCCTCTGTAGACACACGTGGGACTTGTTGTATGGCCTTAATCGGTAGTTTGACCGCAATAGATGCTCACAAACAGTACTTGCCCCAACAGTCCGTTCAATGCTATACGGGGCTTATTTGTCTGTGTGAGTGAGTGGCGGTTTGATTCGATGATTGTCGATCTTTGTGTTTTAGTACTTTGTGAGTACGCAGTTGTGTCTATATACGTCCGTGTGTATGTTTACGTCTATATTCAGCTCGTACGCAATTGCGTGCGTGTGTATCTTTGTGAGTGTGTGTGTCTTTGTGAGTGTGTGTCTTTGTGAGTGTGTGTCTTTCTGAGTGTGTGTGTCTTTGTGAGTGTGTGTCTTTGTGAGTGTGTGTCTTTCTGAGTGTGTGTGTCTTTGTGAGTGTCTCTGTGAGTGTGTGTGTCTTTGTGAGTGTGTGTCTTTCTGTGTGTGTGTCTTTGTGAGTGTGCGTCTTTTTTTGAGTGTGTGTGTCTTTGTGAGTTTGTGTCTTTGTGAGTGTCTCTGTGAGTGTGTGTGTCTTTGTGGGTGTGTGTGTGTCTTTGTGGGAGTGTGTGTGTCTTTGTGAGTGTGTGTCTTTGTGAGTGTCTCTGTGAGTGTGCGTGCGTGTCTATCTTTGTGCGTGTGTGTATCTTTGTTAGTGTGTGTCTTTGTGAGTATGTGTGTCTTTGTGAGTGTGTGTATCTTTGTGAGTGTGTGTGTCTTTGTGAGTGTGTGTCTTTGTGAGTGTGTGTCTTTGTGGGTGTGTGTGTGTCTTTGTGAGTGTGCGTGTGTCTTTCTGAGTGTGTGTCTTTCTGAGCGAGTGTGTGTCTTTGTGGGTGTGTGTGTGTCTTTGTGAGTGTGTGTGTTTTTGTGGGGGTGTGTCTTTGTGAGTATGTGTGTGTCCTTGTGAGTGTGTATTTGTGGGTGTGTGTCTTTGTGGGTGTGTGTGTGTCTTTGTGGGTGTGTGTGTGTCTTTGTGAGTGTGTGTGTCTTTGTGAGTGTGTGTGTCTTTGTGAGTGTGTGTATCTTTGTGAGTGTGTGTGTCTTTGTGAGTGTGTGTCTTTGTGAGTGTGTGTGTCTTTGTGAGTGTGTGTGTTTTTGTGGGTGTGTGTGTCTTTGTGGGTGTGTGTGTCTTTGTGGGTGTGTGTCTTTGTGGGTGTGTGTGTGTCTTTGTGAGTGTGCGTGTGCGTGTATAGCGGTAGTGTTACAGGTTAGCGCGCTGCGCT